GGTCAGTAGTCAACAAGGCTCCGAAGTTACTTCAAACGAAGACGATGACGTTTCCCTGATAGATCCTGTGGACTCTAGCACCGATGAAGATGTTTGCGCTCTTCCGGTGGCGGCAAAAGCCGAGGCAACAGAAAGTTTGATTGAAGTCCAAAGTCAACGGAGCTCCAAATTTACTTCCGAAGGAGACGATGACATTTCCTTGAATGACCCCTTGGACGACCTGGAATGGGAATCAGATGTCGATGAGGAGGAAGGTTCGTTACACGAGGAAGATTTAGAACAGCTGCTGAATGAAGGTGGGGAAGGCGAGGTTTCGCCCAGTTTGGCCAGCAAACTGGCAGACTGGGCACTTAATGCGAACACACCTGCATCGCACTTGACGCGATTGCTCAAGCTGCTTCGGCCCTACCACCCTGACCTCCCCAGTGATGCTCGGACACTCCTGAAGACCTTACGAAACACCGAGGTTGTCCGAATGGGGAGTGGTTTTTACCACTATTTTGGTATAACTCCTGGATTGATGGCTGAAGTTTCAGCTGGGTGCCTACCTGCGGAGTGCTCCACACTCTCTCTCTCCGTCAATGTGGATGGACTTCCCATCTCTAGAAGTTCGCGGAAGCAGTTTTGGCCGATTCTTGTTTCAGTCAAGGAAAGTGGTGGACAGACCCCTTTTCTTGCTGCTCTCTATGAAGGAGACTCCAAACCTGAAGATGTGGATATCTTCATGAAAGATTTCATAGAAGAGATGGCAACATTGTTGGCCCAGGGCATCCGTCTGAGCAGCAAGGTGTATGAAGTAAGGCTTCGTGCCTTTGTCTGCGATGCCCCGGCCAGGGCATACCTCAAGAGCATCAAGGGACACATGGCATACTTTGGATGTGAGAAATGCACTCAAAAAGGAAAGCATGATGGCAAGAGAATAACGTTCCCAGATGTCGATGCCCCACTGCGCACCGACGAAGAATTTAGAGATCGGGTGAATCTCGACCATCACCGTGGCACTTCACCACTTTTGACACTGGGTGTTGGTCTGATCAGCATGTTTCCACTTGACTATATGCACTTAGTCTGTCTAGGTGTCATGAAGAAACTGCTCGTTCAGTACTGGACATCATCAACACCATCCGCTTGTAAGCTGCCCATCAGATCCCAGCTTGAGATCTCGGAACGACTGCTAGCATTCCAGGCACACACTCCTTGCGAGTTCAACCGCAAGCCACGCTCGCTGAATGAGCGAGAGCACTGGAAAGCAGCCGAGTTCCGCAGTTTTCTGCTCTACTTTGGACCAGCACTTCTCCGAAAACATCTGGAGAAGCAGTTCTACATGCACTTCATGAAGCTCAGCTGTGCCATGGCTATACTAGCCAGCCCCAAGTTTGCAGTTACACACTGCGATTTTGCAGAGTCCCTGTTAAGACAGTTTGTCTCTGAGGCTGGCGCCCTGTACGGGAATGGAATCTATGTATACAACATCCACTCCTTGATTCACCTAGCACAGGATGTCCGGCAGCTTGGCCCTGTGGACACATTTTCAGCGTTTCCTTTTGAAAACGTCCTTGGGAAGCTGAAGAAGTTGGTGAGGGGGCCTGCTTTGGCTCTACAACAAGTGATCAAGCGGAAGTCGGAGCTCGTCTCCGCCTCCTCGCCGAGTTCTGCAAAACAAAGCCCAGCTAAGCTGAAGCAACACCGTGATGGACCAGCACCTCTAAACTTCCTGGGAAACCAATACTTTGAACACACTTTGGAGGGCACACGGCTTTCTGTCATGCCGTCCGACAACTGTGTCCAGCTGAAGGACGGAAATGTGGTCCTCATCAGGAACTTCTTACAAGAAAATGGGGAGCACAGCATCTGTGGCCAGTTTTTCAGAGTGCTTGATAACCTGTACATCAGTGTAGTGCCCTCCTGTGAGCTTGGAATCTTCAAGGCGTCAAGTCTTTCAACAGAGTACTCGTTGTGGAGCGTGAAAGACATCAAATGCAAATGTGTCTGCTTGCCACATGGACAGGGCACATATGCTATTTTTCCCCTTACTCACTTGCATGTGTAACAGTATCGCTCTGCTGTATGCAGGGCAGTACCCAGAAAAAAATTTCGGGGGGGGGGGTTTTCAAGGACAACGGCGGCCATTTTGAAAGTGTCTGTTGTCTTATTTTTGCCTATGAATCATGTGCATCGGTGGCATATAACGGAGAGTTACAGCAAACCGGAGAACCGGTCCCGGTTTGGTACCCGGTAGCCGACCGGCGCCACTACGCGTGCGCAGAGGTGGAGATTAAAATCGGCTGGCTGCCAGTGCACCGACCAGGGCCGTACCCAGGAAAAAATTTCGGGGGGGGTCAGAACCCCCTATCCCCCCCCCTGGTTACGGCCCTGGCTGTATGTTTTCTGAGTGGCAAATTTTTCAGAAATGGCTTAGAAAGTAAATAGTATACTTCTTCTTTTCAGATAATGTATCATGTTGTTAGCTTCATGGAGGATGATGATGATGTGGAGTCAGTATCAGTAGTTCCATCAAACTGGTTAAAAGGCGACAACACAGCTTGGGCACCCTATAAAGGCACCAGGCTGAGAAAGGCTGTGAAAGATTGTGAAAAGCCCTCCGCTGGCTGGGCTTTACTCCCATGCAGAGCCATGGGATCATCTTGTAAGTCCAATAATAGAAATCAAATATTATTTCTGCACTTTGTAATTTCTATGCTAATCCCACAAACAGTCATTTGCTTGCAAGGCTTTACCTTATGTATCGTGACATGTCTTATTTTGGAGTTTTTAAGTATTTTATTCTAAGTATTTCAAGTGTTTCTACCTTTCACGTTGTATCTGAAAAGAGACTGATAAATGCAAGTAGTACCTATATTAATCTTCATCCATTTCATGCATTTCTTTTTACACTATTGAACATTCCTTCTTCTATTTCTGGTGAAAGCTTTTGTTTTTTGCATGGAATGTGTGATGCAGTGCAGGTAGTTTTATTTCTGGAAGTTTCTTCTTATTTACTCATAATTCAGAAAGTAATATTCAACCAAAAAAATCTACTCATCTACACTTTTGAGTTTTTAGGGCACAAGATCCAGATTTTGTCTGAATTTATATTGAAAAGTCATTATGCTTCTGTGCCACTTATGGGGAAAAATCAACTGCTGGTCCACATAGCTGCTTATTGGCTTTGTTATATTCTTAAGTGTCTGTTACATAATTAAGTAATGAAAATACTGCCGGATCAAGATTCTTACAAATTTTAGCTGTTCCTTTCCCTTAAAGACCGACACTCGACCTTTATCCTCTGCAGGGGAGCTAATCATATTAGCGACCTCCTCTCCTAAACTGTGAGGGGGAGCCGTGTTGTGGAAAGGAGAGATGTGGGGAGGATATAGAAGAGAGGGAAGTACGAAAAAGTGGAAAGCATGTAGTGTATGTTGGCCTCTAAAGGGACACTAAAGAGGTTTTTGAAGATGCTTGATATTGTTATATAGTGTAGCAGACAAAACCGCTTATTAACCCTGTGACGATAGGAATACATGCAAACTATAGTTTTCACCTCGCCTTCCTCAGCGGGAATGATGTCTTCTCGTCTACCTCTTGGAGCGTGTTCTAGTAATACTTGCGGGAGACATTTTCTTTCTCGCTCCCATGCTATTCCTAACTCCAACGATGAGAGATTAAGTAGCTAGCTAAAAAAGTCTGAAAGGCAGTCCGCACCCAGATACGGGGTTGCCGTCGCTCGCCATTGACTGACAAGCGCCCTTGTCACCCTGCTGGTGCCGCTGCTGGAAAATACACCACCCATCCCGGGACGATTTTTCCGCTCAAAAAGGGGTATGTCACGGTCTTTGATCCTATTTTGATAGGAAAATACTAAATAGGCAATGCATAATTGTAATTTTTGGATTTTTAGGAAGCTCACAGCCTGTAGATTGAGTTATCACCGCAGGTAGACAATCTCAGAAACCTCGTTATATATGTTTCTGAGGTCATCTATTTTTGTAAGAACTCACACTATGGGCCGTAAGCATTCCAAAAATCCCAAAATTACAATTGTGCACAGCCTATTTTCCTACTAAAAATGTGATCAAAGATTGTTGAAGTTAAAGAAAAACATAAGTGTAGATTCTAATCCTTACAGCAATTACAGGGAATAGATTAAGCCTAAACAAGTGCCTGTAAAAATATGCCAGGCATGTTGCAACATGAAGCAATCGTTACCATCACTTTTTTTTTCTAGCTAATTAGCAGGCAACTTTTTAAACTGTCGGGCAGTTTTGAGATGCAGCTGCCAAATGGCAAATTGGCAAGGTTGCTGTTTTTGTTACTTCCTTGAGTCAGTGCGCGCAGTTACAAATATGTGGAGTTGGTATCCAAATTCATTGAACCTGCTGACTGATTATGTTCCAAACTTTGAAGCCTGATTAATATCTGAATGAACCGGTTTGCAGCACCTTGCGAGGCTCCACATTATCATATTTTTCTAACCACCCACCTTGGTGGAAAAAGGATATGCCACCTGTTCTGATAAATGCCTACTCAATTCAGAATTATGCAGTACATTTTTCTTATGATCTGCTTGCTGGGACTAGCCTTGAAGAGACAATTTAGGCTAAAAATACACCTTTTGAGAAAGGGTATTTTCTGAGACACATGTTGTGGGCTTCTCATTTAATAAGACTGCAAATTTGTTTAAAGAACAGCCTGTCTTTGAGGTGTGGCAGCGCTGGTTCATGCTCTAGGTGAGAAACTTACGGTCCACTATTATTGCTAGTCTGCTATATTTAATATGTGTTACACATTGCTCATTATGGCATATAAATGTGTCCTGGTACTGTGCTCATTCAGATTGAAATAAGCAGAGGTAGGCTTTTGGTGTAAACTATTGGTGATAATAATGCCTTTATTTACTATGAAGTGCTCATAGGCTCACATCTAGACGTAACTTTGCCATAAGCTACAGTATTGAGTTTTCTTCCCTCAGCAACATACGAAGATGCCAAGCGTAAAGAAAAAAAAGCAGAGGAGACATCCGACCTTGCGACAGAAGAAGAAGGGTCGCAGAAAAGAAAGAGAAAACCACCTCGGCACATCTTGTCATCATCCGAGGATGAGCAAGAAAGTGAACCAGTTGCGCAACATGGACATGGCAACCCACAAGCATCGATTTCTACATTCATTCCGACTCCTGCGCCTCCAAAAATGCCTGTCCCTCAGAATCAGCAGCCCCCTTCGTCCAGTTCTGCGGATGTTCCGGGAGCTAAACGTAAGCGAACAGGTAAGATCAGCTCATATCATGCATACAAATACTGTAATGTCATATCTTCCCTATTCATCAGAGCCCTAATCTATACTTATGAATTTATAGTACAGCTATTCTTGAAATTATCAGGATTCCAGGCAGAGGTGCTTCGACTGCTTGGAGGCATTGCGGCGCAGCTCCAGAGCCAAGCTAAAATATTGAGACAGCTGGAGGCACAACGTCATGAGCCCAAGAAACCAACTACGATCCCTGCGGTCCTCCACCTTCTGCCACTCTCATCTCATGAGGACGTTGCACAGTTGGAGACACTTCTGCAGGAGGATGAGAACAAAGAAGCCCTTGTATGTTAATACTTCACACACTCGAACGAGAATCTATCGACAGTCCATGGTCATCCACACATACTCAAAAACGCATTGTATGAAGACAGTTTGGTTAGCTCATAGGCAAATGCAGTACTGGTTTCACTTGACCTGATGAACCTTGCAGAGATTTATACTATCCTTGATCCAGTACCAGCCCTAAAGTCTTAAAACAACAGTTAGGTTCATTTAACATCTTTTTCTTGATGTGTGGAAGACACTTGGCAAAGTTTCAACTTCTGTGTAACAGTGTGGGCTGTAAAGTTTCAACTTTTGTGTAGCACTGTGTGATGCTATTTGCATACCACAATAAGTGTAGAAAGGGGATGACATGCCTTTTAATTTTAAAGCCCGAAAAAACTCCACCACCTTTAGGTACCCAGGTTTTATCTCAAGATGGGCAGCAGACCATAGGGAATTCAGGGTGCACACTGTGACCTCTGTGATTCACTTATCTTTTTTTTTTTTCTTTGGGGGAGGGGTCGTTTGTGGACCCGTATTCAAAATGAAAAGACAAGTAACGGACAATAGTGAATTTCGGGTATGCACGCTGCGACCTCAGCGGTTCACTAATCTTTTTCATCCGTAAAAATAACGAGACGAGCAAGGAACAGCCGACAATAGTGAATTCCGGGTACACACGGGACCTCTGCAGGTCACTAATATTCTTTCTTTTTCATTTTGCTTCGTGGACCCGTGTCCATAATAACATAGTGAGACAAAAATGCCTGTATTTTCCCATTTCGTCCCCAAAACAGCCGGCCATAGTCTGGGCTGCGGGTTTCTATATTATAGAGGCAGAAGTGCACGGCGAAAAACCGGGGCCGAGAATTTCGTCCATATAGCTGGGTGTCCATATCAGCGGGGTCCATATTAACAATACATGACTGCGTATGTTTCTTTACAGATTGCTCACCTCGCGCTCATTGGAGGTTCGTCGGTGCAAGATGTCACGCGCTCTGTAATGAAACGGTGCATGCTAGATGCTCTTGCAAAGAACTACTGCATGACTGGAAGAAAGGGGAAACTACGTATGGAGCACCTCCAGCTTGTTTGTGTGGTGACAGGTAATGGGGCCTTTATAACACCATTATAGGTTTTTGTAGCAATAAGAATTCCAATTGACTGCCATTTTTAATCTTCTCTGAAGACTTATTTTTGATTTTGCAATTATGAACATCCTGGCAAAATAGAGATTCCAATATTAGCTCTTGAAGTTGTAGGCAGTGTCCTTTTGAAAATCACAGCAATACCTGCTAGGTTACTGCAACATATTTTGTGGGATTGTTGGTTATCCTTTTGCTTCCAATAAGGTGCCAGCTTCAAAATCAAACATACTTGTTTTCACTTCAATGAACCTAAATTATGTTACTTTTGCTATTATCGCATGCCAGTAGACCTAGTACATGGTCTTTATAGACATGTATGTAAGAAAAACACCATTGCAAATTAATTGCTATCTTCATGTTCACATGTTTGTGCCTGCAACAGGGGCAGTACACAGATGTTTTGAGCAAAAGAAGAAAAATGGTGAGGAAGCCATTGTAGTTCAGAAAAACACAACGCTGAAAGCCATTGCTGATTGGCTGAGATATGCAGCGGCCCGCGTTAAGAAAACGGTGAGTGCTACAGATTCTATTTTGGCATAAGTTGATTCCACTTTTTTATGGAGGCAGCTGTATACAGCCCTTCAACTGGAGTGCTCGATGTGTGTCCATGACTGCATTTAACAGGATGTGTGCAACATTGCCATGGTAATGGTGTGCCATGGTAATGACAAAAGTGCACTCAGCAGTATAAAAAAGCACCGGAAGAGTGGGAGTGCTGGGGTTCGAGCCTGTGTCCCTCTGGTTGAAGCCAACGTCTAGTTTATTGAGCTATACAGCCGTACAAGTCGGAGTGCTTGTGAAATCTGCCAGAAGGCAGTTGACAAGTGCTCGTGAACGTATGATGGGACAGTGCACAAGAGGTGAGGGGGAAGAGAAGAAGCCCATGTTTCGGTTTTGCAAGACCTCCAGGTCCCGTTACACAGTCAAAGGCATGTCACCTCATTTATTGGATACGCTAAAGTTTTCTCTTTATATTTTTAAATTTCAGTATTTACATTTATGAATGCTGAACCTGCTTCGGAGCCAAAGGTTCCTCGCTCCAGTGTCCTTATTTGATCAGGAGTTCGAGCAGCATGCTTTTTGTTCCTGACATCACAACTGTGATGCATTTTGAGCTACTTCAGATTACCTTTTACCCTGCACTGGCCTCAGTGTATCTTATAATTGTGAATCAAGGAGCCGTGACTGACACTTCAGTGTAAATATTCATACAACCGATTTCCTTTTGAAGTTTTTTGTATAGCTATAACACTTATTTGAGACTTTATGAATTTTGAAAACTTTTACATAATGATTTAAAATAAAATCTAAAATGCTCTCACATATTATTTCAGTTAACTTTGACACAATTTAGGTTATGAAATTCCCAGCTTCTAATTATGACTTGTGCAGAGAGCTAGTACGATTGTTCACAAACCTTTGCTGCAGAACCCACGGATCATGTGCTCAAACCCCACCCCTGTCTATTTCGATTTGAATGATCATCATACCGGCACACGTTTGTTTATCACTTCTGTGTAACACATGTTAAAGACCCAGACTACCAGTTGTACTGCACTGGCTAAATATCTCATCTATAGCGTAGACGTATGCGCATCATTTGAATGGCTGATCAACATCACGCTGTCTAAATATCCACAACCCATTTTTTTTTTGCAAGCATTTGAGCATACAGAATGTTTTTTCTTATTTTTTACAAAATCTTTAAAAAAAAAGAGCCGATAGCTACGTGAATGCCGCTTCACTGTATGTTTCTGGGGCTCGGCGTACATTAGGTGAGGAGATAAAAGTCGAAGTATGTTCACTAATTAACAAAAACTGATAATTAACTTTTATTTGATGGCTTAATTGGCCATGTTGCCATTGCAGTTTTAAAAGAAGCAATCAATAAAGCCCATCCCAATGGAGGTAATTTGCGAAAAGACAATGAGCTTTGTGATACTCGTCGTTATAATTTTGCCATTCTTCGCTTGATTCAAAACGCGCTCCTGATTATGCTTGGTAGAAGAGTGACATAGCCACTTCTGTTCCTCTGTCACAATCTCAGAAGAGTGACGCCGACACGTCTATCAAAGGCACGCTGTAGAGATAGTGACGATGAACCCGAAACAAATCCATCACTATTCTACGAATCCTAACCAGGCGCGCCATTCAGCACGCGGTTTTTAATCAAGCGAAGAAAGGCAAAATTTTAACAATAAATATCTTAATGTTTTTTTTTTTTTTTTTTTTTTTTGCAAACTGTATAAATTGGGTTAGCCTTTACTAATGGCTCCCAGGGATGAAGTGGCCGAGTGGGCTAACGCGTCTCAGCTCGGAGCGTGGAGCAAAAGCTTGCGCTGGGAACCTCCTGGGTTCGATCCCCGCCGCCCCCGCCCGTTTCGATCTGGATGAGTTTCGTACCGGCACGCGTTCGTGTGATCACTACTGCGTGATGCACGTTAAAAATCCCAGGTTAGCGGTTGTACCGCACTGGCCAAATTTCTCATCTACAGCTAAGAGACCGATTACCCGTTGAGGCGCATCTCCATCAAGGCTGTATAAACATAAAGAGCAAGCCAATTTTTTTTTAATGGCTCCCTTTAAAACTGCAATTGCAACGTGGCCCATTAAACCGTTTATGAAAAAGTTAATTAACAGATTTTTGTTAGCCAACATACTGTGACATTTATCCCCTCATATGCCCTCCAAGCCCCACAAACATACACTGAAGGCGAATCCACGTAGCTATCAGCTTTTTTTTTTTCTTTTTCAATTCTGTAAAGAATTAAAGGAACGCCCTGTATAGCTTTACTCTTTAATATGCTTTTTGCAGGAGGGCGCTGCCTCTGCCTAGAGGTGACATTGTAGAAAGAGGCAAGCACTTTTTTTTACAATATTATGTTTATAGTCAGCTTCTTTCGCTCTGACTTTCCCTTTTATAACTACTTTCCAGGCATTGAGTGACCTTTGATGTGGAAATTATGTTCCTTAATATGTCAGTTTGTTTTTCTGACCTTGACTGCACTTTAGAAACAGTACTGAGAAAAGTGAGTGTTTATCTCGTTAATGTCATTACCAAGTAACATGAAGCCTGCCATGTGCACAGCTTTTTTTAGGTGGCTAGGGGGTGGGGACCCATGTAATTTATTGATCACAATAATTATGACGTTTATGTTATTGACAGAGGACAAGCAGGACATTTGCCTGTCTCATTGAGGTTTCCGAAAATAAGTTTTTGACTTCTGGGAGTAATCTACAGCTAATAAAGACACTTGGTGTAGAGAAAGGGTGACACTCCGCTCAAGATGGCGATAAGGGACTGTGTGCCCTCTAGTTTTATGTAACTGTTCCTCTTCCTTCTCTATTCATTAATATGACATATGTTTGTTTTATGATAACTTTGAGCAGCAACAGATATGGTAACATCAGTGGCAGGTTACTCTAGTGGTTTTTTTTTATTGAACTTATTTACCACTATTTTCACAATCTAATATCTGTGTATATAGAACTAAGCGAGTAGCTGTCACACCTATTCCTGGTAAACGTCGATACTGCCTATGAATAGGAGCTAAACATTTTTGTTATAATTTTCGTCTGTGTAATTACTTTTTTTTCCCTCTTGCAGTTGCCCTACGGATGCAAGAATGATCCGTTTGTTACACACTTTTGCTTATATCTAGTCAATTTTATTTAGTTCAAAGTTACTTTCAAACTGCATGTTTCTTCTGCTAACTTAAGCTTGGTTGTTACCACTCATACTTTTTGAGAAGTTGAGTATGTTTCTTAGTGAATCTGCAAATGTTTCCGCAGTATATGTCTGGTCCTGTTGCTGTAACCTTTTTCGTGATGTTTTCTCGCAGTTTATTTTACTCAAGTTGGCTGAGCTTACAGCTTCTACTGAGTGCAATGTAAAACTTGGAAGATTTATGAAAATAAACCCTATCTCAACAAATCTTTTGGATTCCTCTAAGTGTCCTTCTTTATGGTCAGTGACAGGTGCCTCTTAGAGGGCCACTAAAAAAGTTAGAACAAGTTAGAATGACATGGATAGGACACCCATGTCATAAAATGCATTTTCATTGAAAAAAAAAAATAAAGTATAACTATTTAGGGCGCAAGACTCATTTTGGCAAGACTGATTTTACATGGTTGCCTGAAAGGTGGTTGCTATTTCAAGGAGATAGCTTCCTTTTGTAACTTCCTATAGGCTCCTTGCGCTGATGTCACATCGCATACTTTTGAACACTATGTAAAAGGAGGAGAGGGAAGCTGCTTTTTTAAGAATTTTGAGTGACAGGTTAATCTTCTATAATCTTCTGGGAGGAGAATAGCAAAGCCTGTGCAAATCCGGGAGGCACAAAGGGGGACCCTGATAAGAGGGGAGCTCCTTCTTCCCCTTTTCTCTGGAGGGCATCGGAAATGACGTCATGTGCAAGCCACGTATTGGTTGGAAGGAAGTGATGGAGACGGATGTGCATACTTTTCCCAGCAGGCCCTGCTTCCTTCTCTGCTTGCCATGAGCAGATGCGAGAGAGAAAAGTAGAGTGGAGGACTGCTTTAAATTGTGTCACAAAGTGAAAATATTGCTGAAATTATATTGTCTGGGGGGGGGGGGGGGGATGCATCTTGTGATATGCATGTTCTATTAGTCAGTCTTCTGCTGTAGAGAATAGATAATCCACTCCAAAATAATTCAAAATCTTGCAATTGGAGAAAAACTTTTAGAAAAGTTATCATGCAAATCAATTGCCCAATGGTTGGGGATACTGGTAATCCATGAAACCTTTTACTTTTGTTGGTTGTGAAAGTTTAATATAAAAGAAATGAAAATCAACACTAAATAATTTCGAAATATTGAGTCTGAATACTTACAGTGCTGTCTCCACTATGCTCCGTTTCACTTTAAGTTAAAGCATAGTGAATGGTATGGGCCATCCCAGCTGATCCAGCGCCGGAAGAGTATCACATGACCTTCCAGTTGTGTGGAACGGGAGGCAGAGCTCAAGGCCGCATCAGACTTGACGCTAAATTGACTGGGATGGCTCGTAGTGTATGCTGCGCTTCAACAGAAGGGGAAGCGGAGTATAGCTGCTAAATTTGGCTTTGGAGTTCCGTGAGGCATATATATTACAGGTTACATTTCTGGTAACCGACATGTCGTCAATAAGTGCAGTGCTCAACAGTTACTAAGGTGTCAACTTGGGTATTAAAGCAACTTGGGACAAACATTTTATCTTCAATATACCCATTCATTAGCTAAATGTGTCTAGCCTTTGTTGGTTATAAGTGCTAATTATTTTGGGAATTCAAATCAATGTTTGTCCTTTAAGATCATCAGAAGTTCTTTATCTCTCTGTCACTTGAGAAAGATTTTTTTTCCCTCGCAAAGTTTACTTCACAATTAGGCAAAATGTCTTTTTTAGTGTCTTCTCTGCTCAGAAAATTTTTGTGCAAGAACTTTGGAGCGACAAACATCTAAAAGTTAAACATTCTGATTGGCTGAAAAACGTTTAAAAAAAAGTTGAGCTTTTTATAAAAGCTATTACCTCGAAATAAAACTGGGATAGATCGACATGATTGAAAGCAGATTACAAAAAAGAGTACTCACGTTTTCTCAAGTGAAGTGAATAACTTCTAAGAGCGGTTCAGCAGCAGTGCTATTTGATGGACGACTTTCACACAGGCGAAGGTGGGGTGAAATCGCTGAGGGAGCTAGTCTGCGACTAATTTGCCCGAGACGAGGAAAGATAGAAACGGGGCTAGCACACTGCGGCTATGTGTGTGCTCGTCCGTTTTTAGCTGTCCTTGTTGTGGGTAAATTGATTTTTTCATAATGTAGCTCATGTTGAAAAGTAGTGGTCAATTGGCAATATATTGGGTGTCTCAAATAGTAACCAGTCTCTTTAAATCGACCACAAAATTCGGTTTCTTAACCTATCGCGCTAGGATTTTGTGCAGCGTTGCCCACAGGTGGTGTATTTTTTCTATAAAAATTGCAAAGAGTGAACTCACTGAGGAAAAAATAAAGAAAGAAAAAGGCTTAACTGCTATGGAAATGCAGCGAAGCCAACGGTCTTCAAAAATAGGGCGCCCTATTGTTTGAAGACCGGTGCCTTCGCTGGGTTTCCAAAGGAGTTAACCCTTTTTCTTTCTTTACTTTTTCCTCAGGTAAGTTCGCTCTTTGCAATTTTTATTAAAAAAATGCACCGCCTGTGGGCAACGCTGCAAAAACTCCTAGCGCAATAGGTTAAGAAACCAAATTTTGCGGTTGATTTAAAGAGCCTTGCTGCTACTTGAGACACCAGGTTAATGTTACACGAATGTTGAGGACCAAACATACCACAAATGTTTGCTGTGTGGTCATTGGAAATATATAAACAATGTTAATAAATTATGTTCCACTAATGTTGAGGGCATAACATACCACAAATGTTGAGGGCATAACATACCACAAATGTTGAGGGCATAACATAGCACAAATGTTGAGGGCATAACATAGCACAAATGTTGAGGGCATAACATAGCACAAATGTTGAGAGCATAACATAGCACAAATGTTGAGGGCATAACATAGCACAAATGTTGAGGGCATAACATAGCACAAATGTTGAGGGCATAACATAGCACAAATGTTTACTGTGATGTTACGGGAATGTTTTCACATAACGTTCCAGCGACATGACATTTTGCGGACATTAGCCACGTATACACAACGTTGGCGGACCACATTCCAGTAACATTGTGGCAACATTCGGTGCTACTAGGGTTAAAGAACTTATCTCAGTCAACGGCTACAGCATTCTGCACGCAAGAATGCTCGGAAAATCCAGCTCGGCGCTACTCACGTTCGAGGGACCGCACGTGCCATTCTACGTGAAAGCGGGTAGCGTGTTCACCCGATGCCGGCCCCACCGCAGATCCGTGCAGTACTGCAGGGCCTGCGGGAATGTCGGCCACAGACAGGACGTCTGCCCCAACCCGGACACAAACAGGTGCAACCGATGCGGAGCGGAAAATCCTCAAGACAATCACGAGTGCCAGCCTAAGTGCAAGCTGTGCTACCAACCCCACGAAACGGCAAGCAAGGAATGCCAGAAACGACTCAAACCAAGTCCCCCACCGCTACACGTGAGGGAAAGAAGCAAATCGCAAAGTAAACAAGCCGCTTGGACGGGAGTTGCAAATGACCGCCCTTTCGAGCAGCAGCAACGGACGTCATTGCCGCAGGACAGAGTGGTGAGCTGACCCCAGCTGGGGTCCCATTCTCCCACTGCTCCAGACCCGTTTCCCCCACTGACGGTCACGCAGCAGGATTCAAGTAACGTACATTTCGAGCAGACCATAGACACACTTAAGAAACAGAACGCGGAGCTAATCTGGCGCTTAGAAAACAACGAAAAAAAAAAGCTAAGGCGAGGGAACAGGCCCTAGAGCAGAAACTGTAACAGTTTATAGAGCAGATGCAGAAACAGCAGCAACAACTGTCGCAAACACCGCCGCAAGCTAAGACACCTCTGCCGGAGGACCTCGAACAAAAAATGGAATATCACATGAACAAATTAGATGAGAGGATCGATCAGAAGATTGATCAGACAATGAGCCAGATGACAGAAGCAGTTGAAAATAAAATGAACAAAATGATGGAAACCGTGAATAAGGTGTTTGAAAACGTTAATCCAACCATCATCCAAATGAGTACGACCCTCAACGCCAAGATGGATCGAATGGGGGAGACCCTCAATGCTCAGATGGGCAAGATGGGTGATGAGCTCAACCAACGTATTTCCGACCTTGAGAAGGAAAGGGAATTCAAGCCCGAAAGAAGCCGAAAAAGTCGCCAGGAGGGGATGCGCTGACAGAAGAAACTATCAGAACCCACAATGGAGAGTAAAGAGACGGGAAAGAAAAGACGCGACCGAAATCCTCAAAATCTGGCGGTGGAATTGCCGATCGATCAACCGGAAAAGACAAAATCTACTACAATTTATCAACCTTCATCAACCGGATATCATTGCGCTACAAGAAACAGAAACAGACACCATAAAGATACGGGGCTACGAGACCAAGGTGTACGATAGACAGGTGGGGAAACGGGAGCCAAATGAGCGACCGGACTGTGTCCCACTCGGTCTTCTCCTTTTTCTGTGGCGCCATCTATGTGGAGCACCGCGAACTCTCACTCCGGGTGGGCGACCGGTGGCGACCAGTTAAACTGACGGAGATAATTTC